CAAGTACCCTAGCGTTACAAGCCAATTCCCTATCAAAGACTCCAATGCCAAACATCTTCGATTTATAAAAATTAACTTTCAATCCAAAGGCTGTATGGAAACAATCGAGTATTCTTGCCAAGTTTTTAAGATTGCTTCTCGACCATTCACCTATAAATAGCGCATCATCTGCATAAAAGAGGTGTGAAAGGCAAGAGTCACTATTTAGAATGCGAATACCATGAAATATGGAGTTTTTACTCGCTTCCTGCATGGAAATGTTGAGCCTTTCCATTGTAATAATAAAAAGTAATGAGAATAATGGATCGTCTTGTCGAACTCCTTTGGAAAGAGGAAATTCTATAATGGGGAAACCGTTTATCAGAACCTAAGCTCGAGATGAAGTCAGACACCCTCGAGATCCAAGACCTCCATTTACATCCAAACTCCATTTGCACCATAATGAAGTCAAGGTAACCCCAGTTGACCGAGTCGAGAACCTTTTTAAAATCGATCTTAAGTAAGAACATCTTCCTTTAACCTTCTTCACCCAAGAACATACTTCATTGATGATGATAGGTCCGTCAATAATATTCCTTCCTTCTATAAACGTCGATTGAGCCTCACTAATGATTGACCCGATTACCTTCTTGATTCAAGAGATTAAGGCTTTGGCAATGATTTTATATAATGATCCGACAAGGCTTATTGGTCGGAAGTCATTCAAGGTCAACGGGTCATTAACTTTGGGAGCCAAAGTAATAAGTGAGGAATTTCAACCATTCCCAAGCCGTTGGCTTCAAAGTGCTTTATTAAACCTTGTTCGCCTCATATTCTGGTTAATAATAGAGTAAATTATATAAATAGTCCCTGTGGTTTGTGGTAGTTTACACATTTGGTCATTAACCTTTTTTAACTCGATGGTCTCTATGGTTTGATTTTGTTGCGGTTATAATCCCTATAAGAATCAAATCGATTATATCGCGCTTATTAATTTCTTTTTTGATTTTCTTATCATTTGTTTTAATTATAATTTAATCATAATTTAAGTGAAAATATGGACCTACCCACAATACCACTTTAATCATTGCCCCTTTGAAACAGGAACATTTGAAGCTTTCTCTCTTCTCTCGTTTAACCCTTTAGCAGCTTTTCAATTATATAATTTTATACACATTCGCCTAATTGACATATAAATAAATCAAAAATATTATACCTATAATTGATTATCTTGAAAACACTTCCTTTACTATCAAGTGTTTGTGGGACAGGGGACGTCAGATGTTGGCAAGATGAGGACATAATGGTGTTGTTTGGTTTAATTTCAAAAGATGTGGATCCATAAGAAATTAACAAGAGCTCCATGCTTAAATTAAAACACAAACTTAATACTATATTACTTTTGTAAAATTATATGGATAAAGGTAATCTAACTTTTTCTTATCATGTTATCTTTATTTGATAAAATATGTTAGAAACTTTAAGTTCAACATTCATATTCTTAAGAAGATGACATGATCCACACAAGAACTTACTTTGATTGTTTTTAAGTTTACGCTTTTAATGAAATAAAAAGAACACTATATAACAATATCTTTTTTTTTTTCATTTTATATATTACATTGCTTATTAGGCACATAACATTGCCAACTTTTATATATTTTTAATAAAAATTTGTACAGTATAAATTTATAACCAACTTTGTTGTTTTTACTGTTTAAACTTTTAAAGTAACATATAAAATCATTTTCTTCCAGAAAAAATATAAAGATTTCATTACTTTCTCATTTAATGTCACGAACTTTCAGTTTCTTTTTTCTTTTGTTTTTTTTTTCTCAATTTTGGTCGACAACTTCTACCAAAAAAGGTCATCGCCACATCACCATCAAATTTATAGGCCATGGCACGTCACCGATTACTCAAAACTAGAAATTCAAAGTTTTAAATCTTTAAATATAGAGTCAATTACACGAACGGTCCCTATGGTTTGGAGTAATTTATGTGTTTTGTCTCTAAATTTTTTTTTTAAAGTTAATTAACTAAAACTAAAAAGCCCTCATGAGTAGGTCAATTTTTTCAAGGTAATATGTATGGAATTCAAAAAAAAAGGACATTGAATCAGATTTTTTCTGTTAGTATAACTTATATCGATGTCACACAAAAACTTTTCAGAGATCATCCATTCTAATACTACTTTGCTTAAAAAACTCGGTAATTAAACGTGTTTGTGCAAGAATAGTTATAAGATGGATGACCTCCTGAAAATCCTCGTGTCACATCGATATGAGATATACTGATATTTTCCGTAGCTGTAAATTTTATACATCACCATCGGTTCGGCTAAGGCTTACACGAAGCATAAATCACAAAGCATTGGCTATAATTTGGATCAATCGACAGTGAAGAATTAGCAATATCTTGTGATACTCAGGTGTGGATCAAAATCTTAAGGTTTCTAGAAACGTAGAAAAGAAAGGCTAAGCGTTCATAACAAGGTCACTTCTACATTTTAATTTTGTTGCAAAAAGCCTAAAAGCCAAGGTTATAGTGTTTATATTTTAGCTCCCATCTCCCAGTAAATTCAAGTTAAATGCAACGAATAAAAATTTGATGATTATTTTAATATATCTATTAGTGGGTGTATTTCTTAGACTTTGTAGTTACATACTTTATTTATATTTTTTAATATTTTATTTTCTTTGAAACAACTATACATACCTGGTCTAAAATCTAATTTTAAGTCCCACTAGGGTTCTAAGTCGAGGTTACCGGTGACCCCTTTCTTGCAACCCAAGCCACCAGAATACACCACTGACCACCCTTGGTGAACCCAAGAGCCGCGGCCCAGTACAGGGCTCCACCCATGTTTTCTCTCTCCTACACGTGCTCATCTCAATCCTTCTACAAACAACACGTGCTTCTCCATCGATTCTCCACATCACCTTACAATCCTTCGTGATCCACTCCTGATACATAAGATTTTCTCATCTTATCTTATTTAATATATAGAAAAAGGACTTTGAACTTTCAACGTTCTGTACATCCTCCAACTTTAAATTGAAATTATAATAATCAGTTTTATAACAAAAAGATCTTATTTTGATCTTGTTTTATCTTATTTTTTACTTAAAAATGTTTATAAGGCTATGCCGAATGGCTCGATATTTGCCTACTCAGCACTTGGGACATGGCGCCATCACTGCAACATGGCAAGTTCAACAAGCCCTCTTGGCAGTAGTGTGCCGAGCTCTTGCCTCTTTGATCTTTTTGACCAGCCAATCAAAAAGACTATTTTTTCTTTCTTTTAAAAACTCTACAAATCACATCCTCTAAATGACATGAAAATAAATGGGATGACAAATCCGTGACCTATATGTGACAGCATTTTTAGTATGGTAAGTGTGACATCATTTCCTTTGACCTATTGGTATTGCAAAGCATTGATTTGGGAGTGTAGATAGAAACATCTGCATTGTGTTACAATTATGATTTTTTTATTTTGACTATAGTTTGACGCCTATAAAAATAAATTTCGTTTTAGTTTTTAGTAAAAAAAAAAAGAACTATTCACAGAGTGCAATACAATTTTTTTTTACCATGAACGAAATTTTTTAACTCCTAAAGTGAGAATAGTTCATTTTTTTTTACTAAAATTAAAAGGAAACCAAAATTTTTGGTTTTTAAAATTTGGGTATACAAAATTGTCGGTTTTTTGTTTTTCTTTAAAGTTTTAAAATTGTTGTGTTCTTGCGGTCATATACAACGTTAGTAAACTCACATCATAATGATTAAATTTCAATATACATCACGGATATCTTTGCAAGCTATTAGACTGAATAGTATCATACAATTTTTACCGATGCCGATCCCACGGGGACAAGATTACCAGCGATAACACCTCCCCCAAAAGCCTTTTTTGCCGGCGGTATTATACCGGTGGCATACTTCCACCGCTTTCTCTCTCCTCATTTTACCACTCAAACATCATTCTATCTCCTTATTCTATTTCTTTTACCTTCAACACCACATCCTTACCTCTATTGAAAATGGCAAAGATGACAATTTAAAGAGTCAACATCATCTTATGTCGTTCAGTCTTATATCATATACGTTCGTATAAAACTTATAGGCGGACAACAGTGTTTGCAAAAAAACCAAAACGATAGAAAAAACAAATATGGAAAAACAGAAACAGTACTAAAACGAAAAAAATGGAAAACCAATTATTTCGATTTGGTTTCCTTTCTTATATATAAAATCCGGGAAAAAAACAAACCAAAACATTTATTTGAAAAGTCAATTGTTTTGTTTTAATTTTTTTTTTATATACGAAACCGAAAAAAATTATCCTAAATACCAAAATTAAAAATTTCAAGTGAAAATATATATATATATATATATATATATATATATATATATATATTAAATATACATTTTTTCTAAAAAAAGATGTTTTTGAAATTTGTTTGATATAAATGGTTTTTCTGTCAAAATAAAAAAATATGAATGGCTTTTCTGAAAAAAATAATAATATATAAGTGGTTTTTTAGATAAAAGTTTGAAAACTCGATGGTTTTTGTGATATTTCCCTATATAAAAAACATTACTTTTGTTTTAAAATGTAATACATTAAGAATTAATGAAAACGAATTATTCGATACCGCTGGAATAAACTCTTGAGTCGTTGGATATACTCCATTGCCAATTGAAGCCAGAGTTACTGCCTCAGAAAATTAGTACAGTACAACAATCTAATGCAATACAAATTGAGTTCATTAAAGACTTGTTTTGGACACTTTAAAAAAGCAACTATCAAAGATAATGTTGATTTATTACTCAGTAATCTGATACATTTGTTTTTTTATTTTTTATTTAATTGAAAATTGAAATCGTTTTTGGGATCGAATATTCTCGAGTAAAATTCCTTGTATATTTTCATCTATAAATTTAGAGTAAAATCCTCTTTGTTTTTTGTGGGACAAATTAAAGTGCGAGACTTACAGTACAAATTTCTTCTGAAAATGGCGTTTTTCTCGAGAACGAAACGAGTTACAGACCCGCTGGATGACCGGGTCAAGGACCGGATCGTCGGCCGTGATAGGCTGGAACCGGTGTATGTAAGCAGCGGTAGCGAACACAGTGCCGACAGTGGTGGTTACGATGACGATTCATCTCCGTCTCCTTGTCTGTCTAATCTGCTTCCTTGCTTCTTGCATCGAGAAGAAGAAGAAGAAGGTGGTGGTGGTGGATGCTGTAATGCTAAAGCCGATGATGACGGTTGTCAGTTGAACGACAAGGAAGTTGATTCCGATTCCGATTCCGATTGTGAATCTGATCGTACGGATGCAATTATTGAAATCATGCGTTCAATGTGGAGGAATCAAAATGTTGATAGGTTTAGAGTTGTGTTGATGGCTCATGTTATGAAAGGTATGGAGATTTTTCACTCTCTGAGACCTAATCAACAAATTCTCCATAGAAACATGATGTTGTTTCTTCAAAATATTGGCTACAATGCGGCGATTTGTAAGACGAAGTGGGAAGGCTGCGGCGGACTTACTGCCGGTAATTACGAGTTCATCGACGTAGTCAGATCCGACTCAGGCGCTCGCTACTACATCGATCTCAATTTCGCCGGAGAGTTCGAGATCGCTAGAGAGACAAACCAGTTCCGCCGCCTCTCACACCACCTCCCGACGGTTTTCGTCGGCAAAAGTGAAGATCTAAAACAGATCGTCAAGTTGATGAGCGACGCCGCGAAGCGTTCGTTGAAAACCAGAGGATTATTCCTCCCTCCATGGAGGAAAAATCGATTCATGCAGAACAAGTGGTTCGGCCCCTACCGTCGTACGATCAACTACACTCCGATGAACATCTCGTCGGCATCTGCGGTACCGGCGATATCGACGGCTGGTCCCGTCAAATGCCGGTCGATCGGATTTAACGCCGTTAGTGACGCTTCGTTAATGCCCGCGGCAACCCGTACAAGATAAACTAAAATATTTACTTAACTACGTAAATAACTTTTTGGTTTTGATAAAAAGAGTCAATATTTTTGTATTTGAATCTGCACGTTTTTCAGGCAACTGCTAACGTTGACACGTGTCGTGTATATGATTTCTACCATTCGTAACAAGCACACCAAGTCACCAACCGCGTAGATGTACTAGGAAATTAGAAACACGTACGCAATATTATATTTATTTATTATTATATTATATACCCTTAGCAAAATTATAAGGAGGATTGTATATGGACCTTAATACTACATAAAATAAAAATTATTTAAATGAAAAAAATTACTAATCTAACCGTTTTGTCTACTAACTTTTCACTTAGTCAAAAATTAGAAATTAACAAGCACATCAACGCTAATCGACTACAGTTAACAGTAATTTGACTACTATTTCATACCAATTACTTGTAATACACGTATATTCGACAGTTAACAGTAATTTGACTACTATTTCATACCAATTACTTGTAATACACGTATATTGTACCGGTCGATTAAATAATAAAATTTAAATAATAAGTATTTTTTAAAATAAGGAATAAATAAACATATTAATTATAATTTATTATCATATTTATTACATTTAATACTTTACATATATAACTAAAAGTATTATGTGGCTTTTTAATTTTAAAAATTGAAAATACTCATAAATCGACATGTGGATATTATTTATTTAAAAAATATCATAAAATGATAAGTGTCAAAATTAATTAACAAGTGACAAAATTATTTTCATTTATTAAGGAGGATGGACTACTATTTCGTAGTCTCATCTATTTTTTTAGGGTCTATCATCCTATAATATATAAAATTAAAAATTTTCACTTAGGTTATTTTTTTATGTGTTTCAAGTAAAGAAAAGCTCTCTTAATAAAGGTTCTTAACAAAAGTGGCGAATCCAATATTTAAACTCGTCCCATCAAATGAAGTGACTAAATAAACGAGTCATAAATTTTGGTAATCAGAGCGGTTTGCTTAGGGGTGTTTGTTCGGTTTGGTTTATAGGCATGGCCGGCTCTACCCTTTGCAAAACTAAGCAATGGTTTATGGCCCCCATTTTTAAAGGACCCCAATTTTTAAGTTTATTCTGTTAATTATATATATATATATATATATATATATATATATATATATATATATATATATATATATATATATATATATATATATATATATTGGGTTACAAAGACAAGTTGGAGGTTGGCCCGGTGGTAAAAGCGCTACCCAAGGGTCTCAGGTTCGAATATGTTTGCTTACTTTTCATTCATTTTATTTTGGAAGCTACTTAAACATATCCCACATCGCTTATGGATAAAACTCAACCAACTCTCCTCTTTTATATAAGCCCGACCATCCTCTTGTTTCATATTAACTCTACCTTAGAGTCCCACATCGGCTGAGAGATCAAAACTTTAGCAAACTTCATGTTTATATAAGTGATTACTTGAGATGCATTAAGAAATAGTGTGAGATTTGGTTTAAGATATAAAACCGAATGGTCCCAATTTTTTGTTTGCTTAGAGCCCTTAAATTGGTTGAATCGCCCCTGTTTATAGGTTTTCGGTTTAATCGGTTTTGTTTTGTCGGGTTTTTAGCATCTCTAAATTAACCATAACCAAACCAAATAATATTCAGTTTAATCGATTTCGGTTTCGGTTTAAACTAAATAAAAAAAGGTCATTATGTGTAAACATATTAACAGGAACATTAAAAAAAAACTAAATCAAATAAATTAATAACCAAAAAATCTTTATGTATTAAAGAAAAAAACATTAACTATTAAATATATAACAAAGATATAACTTAACAAAATGATGTTCTTAAAACTATTAATTATTAAATTGATGCGACCTTTATATCCGTCTTCGATTTACTCTCCTGTTGGGCGTTTGGATGTATCTGCAAGGCCACATGAAAGAACAGTCGTCAGCCGCTTTCCGGGAGGAAGCTCCCGGAAGAACGCTCCGACGGTCAAGTTAGATAGGGTATTTGGTGTTTTAGGGTTATTGCACTTAGAGAAGATGGCTTACCTTTAGGGCTCCTGAGTGCGCCCTTTTATACCTAGCGACCCTGCTCGTCCGTACGGGACAAGATCGCTTTTAGGGGACAAGGTCAGAGGCGCTGATTGGAGGGTTGTGCGCCTCTTTATGTCAGAGTTCTGCCATTGGCTCCGGCGGTAATGCTCTGATCCTCTTCCTTGTCGCTTGATCGTATCCTTTGTCTTGACGCTGGGAGCGTTTCTGGCGGGCGCGAGCGTTTTGCCTGGGCGCCCTGCTCTTAGGGGCGCTGGCGGGCGCTGAGCCCGCTCCTCTTGGCTCGGCCGAGGTGCCAGGTATCTTGGGCGAGCGTGACTCTTCTGTGCCGGCTTAGGAACGTCATCAAGTCCCCCAGTCCAGTAGCCGTAGCGTTGTGCTGCTAGATACGACGTTATGGGCTTGATTACTTTACACGTGTTGCTTCCCTGTTCGTTCGCCGTTTCGATTTTAATGGCGACGTGACCGCTCATGATGGCTAGCGGTTACGTCAGCGTGTCAGACATTTTGAATATCCCGCCCTTTCCATTTCCTTATTAGGGCACTTATCATGTCTTCTTATCTACGTTTCCTCTTTCTTTCTATTCTTCTTCCTTAACTCCATTTTCTCTCCTTTCTTTCCATGGCGAGTCCCCCAGGCATCGTGCCCTCTGCCTCTGAGTATTCGTTTCTCGAAACCACTTATGCCCTCACTTCTCTTGACGGTGTGGAGTTTCCTTCACCAGGTTCTTCCATCCTTTCCCCCCCTCCCGGAAAAGTCGGTATCTACCAGAAAACCCTAGATGCTGGCCTTCGTCTTCCTTTGACCGATTTCCAAGAGGAGGTGCTCCAGAAAGATGGTTGCACCGTTCAGATGCTAACCCCCAACGCTGTAAACAAAGTTGTTGCTTTTGAGATGATTTGTCGGGCTAACAGTTATCTTCCTGATTACTTTGTGTTTAAATATTTCTTCCGCTTCTGTTGCACCGGTGACAAGTTCACGTTTTCCGTTCACCGGGGAGGACATACCCTAGTGCCTGACGGCCGGACCCCTAAGAATTGGCAAGATCGGTGGCTTTGGGTTAATCAGGGCTTAGTGGGTAGCGGACGTTATCGTGCCAACACTTTTGCTGATGTTACCCCAAAACTCTTTCCCCATAACCAGGGAGTGGCTGATTTCCTCAAGAGCATCCAAGTGTCCCCTGGGGACTATTCTAAGGCCCTTCTCTCCGGTGTGGGGATGAGTCCGTCTTGGAGGCGTCGTGGTAAAATGGCGGTTTTCTTCCTTGTCGTGGATGGTAAGTGTTTGCATACTTGGTTTGTTTAGGGTTTTATTATCTGAATATCTTCCCTTTTTGATTTTCCTTGGTGCCTCAAATTTCCCAGGTAACGAGTCTCCTTTGTCTATGGATGGAGTGCTTCGAAAACGTTACAGGGGGAAACTGGATTATCGGGAAATAGATTTAGTCGATCATCTTCCTTCCCCTCGCCGTTTGGACCAGCTTGCTCTTACTGCTTCTATGCCGATCCCTCCTTCGACAAGTGAGGGCCCGCCGTCTGCCGGGACGGACCATCTTGTAGTTCGCCCCCTCTCCTCCGTTATGCCCTTAGGTGGTGTTCATACTACTTCCACCGAGGGTGACGAGGACAACAAAGATGGCGTCATTGCTGATGCTCGGCGACTGCAGGCCAAACGGAAGGTCGTTCTGGCCATGGGTGAGACTGTGAGCGGTGCACTTAATGTCGCCAAGCGAGTTCAGACCAGGAGCAACTTTTCTCGCCTTCTAAGCTCGATATCTTCGTCACCGGCACCCGTGGTTGTTATCCCTGATGATGACGTTCAACAGTATGAAGGGATGGATGGGGCGCATAAACAGCCCATGGATCCTGTTTCGGTTGTTCCCCTTATTGCTACCAGTTCTTCTCCTCCACAGGACTTTCGTGGCCCGGATCCCACCCCTGTTTCTCCCAGCAAGAACACAGGTGGAGGTTCTTCAGGACCCTCCCCTTTTGTTCCCCCATGGAATATTCATAGCGAGTCTCGTCTCTCCGTTCACACTAATGCTCTAGAGTTTACCCGACATGCCTTTACTCCTGCCACTGCTGCTGATATGGAAGCTATGGGTAGTCCTGCCTTGTCCCATAACATGTCCTGTGTTGCCGCGCAAGCCATGTTTTACCTTGTTGTCAGGGCTCGGCGCATTCAGATGCTCAATGAGATGGAAACTGTGCATGCCGGCTGTGGGGCTCGTGTAACTGAGTTAGAGCAGCGTATTTTAAAGCTTACTATGGATCTGCAGCGTGCCGAGCAAAGGTATCAACTTTTAGCTGCTGAGAAAACTGCGATGGAGGAACTCAGGGCTAGTTTGGAGGCCAAAGTTGACTTTATCTCTCAGGTTAACGAGGGCTTAATGATCCAGATTGAAAGCCTTGAACGTGATGCAGCCGATCATGATAGGGTGGTTGCCGACTTGCAGTCAAATGTAAGTGTTGCACAGCATGATCTGAGCTAGTTGTTACAGGTGGGGCTTGTGCGAGTTCTGGACAAGCTAATCGAGCATCCAAAGTTTACGGGAGCGGTGAGCCTAATTCGTCACGCCGCCTTTGTTGCCGGAGCGGAATCTGTACGGGCTGCTCTTGTCTCTGCTGGTCATCTCGGTCTTGTGGATACCCCTGTTGCCGGCCCTGCTACCAGTGTGAATGAGGCTCTCCTAGCGTTTGCTAGTATGGATCATGCTGCCTTGTTGGGCCTGGGCGAATTGGATATGCAGGGGGTTCGTGATCTTTGTGCCTTCTCTGGTTTTGACGGTACTCCTGAAGGTTTGGTGGATGGTGACAATGGGGTTGACAAGAGTGGTGTTAGCGGTGGTGTGGTTGTGGGAGGTGATGGTGGTGGTGGTGCTGGCGATGGTTTGGATGCCAACGTTTGTTTGGGTGATGAGCGTAATGATGTTGTTCCTGA